CCAAGGACATCTGTTCTACTCTTAAGTCATAGATAATCACGAATGTACTTACTGCTTCCATACATTTGCATTCTGGACATTTTATAAAAATAATTTCATGCAATGTGTGTTCTTGTGCCTGATTTCTTTCACTGAGCATAATGTGTATGTGGTTCATTCATGCTGTAATATTTATTAGTACTTAGCTATTTTTTTTAAAAAAATGCCAACCAGTATTCCATTGTATGTGCATATACCACATGTTGTTTATCTATTTATAAGATGATGGACATTTGCTTTTTCCTCCACTGTTTGACTGTTGTGAATAATATTGCTATGAATCCTGAAAGCCTTTTAATAGGTTTCACTAAGAACAGGAACACATTATTCTGAACACTTTGCTGTTGTACCTAGAAGCAAAATGATAATCTCTGTGGGGTTATTTCTGGATCCCATAGTCTCAGACAGAGAAAATATGCAAGCAATAAAAAATGTTTGTTTTCTTTCCACCAGAAAAAACTGTGTTTTTTCTATCATTGGAAAAAATTATGTAAACAAGTCGTTTTAGTAGCAAAACAAGATAGAAATGAGTTGTAAGTAAATACACATGAAGAATAAGGAAAGAATCTCACCATAGCTTTCTTCTTCTCACTCCTTCCTTTGATGTTATTTAATGGCACCAATTCCACACATTAATCTGGAGGCTACTAACACTTCCCGTGTCATCTTCTAGACATATACACACTCACAACAGGATTTGTAATGAGCCTATTGCTTGTGTTGCAGTCTATTTCCCAATACATCACAGAATCAGCAATCTAGGGGGGCCTGAGTCGGTTGCCTGTCACTGAGCAAATGGCCTCCAGGGCATGTGCTGACTGATGTATGGTGCGGGGCCATCAGCTGTATTATATATAATACAGTGGTTATTAGAAACGCTATAGCCAGAGGAAAAACATTTTAAGAGCCTGCTTGATTCATTTATATCTCTCTCTATTTCTCTCCCAGAAAGAGCTGTAGAGCACATTTCACCATGCTCCGTAGACGGTCACGGTTGTGATTGCATAGTTAGTATCTCTCAGCCTGGGACACTCTCCCTCTACTTGTTCCCTGCCAAACTCATGACCATGGAGGGCAAACTCCAGTATTCGCTAAGGACAAGTGGGCTGAGCTAATGTGAAGACTCTCATTCACATCTCAATGACTCATGGCAGTTCTTACTAGCAGATGCGGTTCTAGGGCTGAAGAATTCCTCAGCTTTCACAAGCCATTGATGACATTGAAACAAGGTGCTTTTGGAATTCTGGTTAAGTGATTACAGAGTACATCAAGTTGAAGCTTGAAAGTTTCATTTGATTTTAACATAAATCTAATGATGCAAGCATTTTAGACCTATTAATTGCATTACTAGAGTCCTTCGCACTGGGTTCTTCTTCTCTGAGCAGCTGTAAATGCGAATGAAACCCAGTGCATAGGCTATGATAGGAGTCTAATATGGATCTGTTGTTATTAAGTGCCAATGAGTTGGTTCTAACTCATTGCAACCCTGTATGGAATTTCCAAGGAGCAGCTGGTTGATTTGAACTGCTGACCTTGTAGTTAACAATCCACTGCTTATGCTGCAGTGCCACACCAGAACATATTTGAATATATGTGTAGACAAATTAAACTTTCTAATGCCCATGCAAACTTTGCCAATAATCCATTAGTCTTCTTTTTTTTTTTTTTTTAACTTTTTCTTGTTAATTGAGTGAAGGTTTACAGAGCAGATCATCAATTTTACATATTTTTTTACATTTTTTACATTTACAGCGGGTTCAAACTGGCAATCTGCCCCATCATTCAACAAATCATAGACTTTGCTTCATTACAATGATTGCGATCCCCTCCACGTACCAACAGTTAACAGTATTTACCTCTATATTCTTTAACTCTTGCACTCCTCCCTGTGTCTCTTGTTACCTTCATCTTTCCTCTGCCAACCTCCCTCTTGTTGTTTCTGTTAAGTGCCATCAAGTCGATTCTGAATCATAGCAAACCTATATAGGGTTTTTGAGGAGCAGCTGGCAGCCATGTGGTTCCAACTGACCTTTTGGTCCAGTGCTTATCCTATAGTGCCACACCAGGCCTTCATCTAGCCTGTGAATAATCGCAGCCCACCTTCCCCCACTCCACCTCCCATAGGCATCAAAGAACGTTTCTTCTACCAAGAAAACTTTTTCTTAACTTTTTACAACATTGGTCTCATATAATATTTGTCCTTTTGTGATTGACTATTTTCACTCAGCATAATGTCTTCCTCATTCATTCATGTTGTGAGGGGTTTTGCAGATTCTTCATTATTCTTCATTGTTACATAGAATTCCATTGTGTGTATGTACCAAAGTTTGTTTAACCATTCTTTTGTTGATGAGCATTTAGGCTGTCTCCATCATTTTGATGTGTATTTTGTAGACAGCATATTGAAGGATCCTTTTTTTTTTTTTTTTTTTGATGTTTTATTGTGAATTATGTGATAGTTTACATGGGAGAACAGTAGTTTTACATTTTTCCTATTGTATATATCATTTCATTGCCATGGTTTTAACCCCCTCCATGCATCATCAACCTGAAGGATCCTCTATTTAATATCTATTCTACTACTCTGTGTCTTTTGACTCATGTATTTAATCCATTTATATTTAGTGTAATTATTGACAGATATGAATTGATTGCTGTCATTTTGCTGTGTATTTGTGTGTGTGGTGCTGCTGGTTTCTATGTTCCACACAATTTTCTGTACTAAGCATATTTTGTTTGTGGGTTTTCTTTTAATTTTCACAATTTCTATTGTGTTAATGTTTGCAAAATCTTTCCGATTTTCCTCTTTTTTATTTTGATGTGATTTCTTTGAGGTTAGCCTATAATTTATTAATTTTTCCCCATTTAAAATAGTGTTTCTTATCTCAAAATCTACTTGACTTCCTCACCATTTGGAAGTTCTGTATCTATACTATTCCTTCTTTTGCTTTGTAGTTGACTTTATTATAAATTGATATTTCTGGTTCTCCTATTTCAGTCTTGTAGGTTTGTTTTACTTTAAATACTTCTATATCTGGATTGAGTTCTGGGTGGTGATGTTGTAGGTTATTGTCTACTGTTGTTGGCTCTCAGTCCAAAGATTATCCTTTAGTATTTATTTTTGTAAAGTTGGTCTGGTTATTACAAATTCCTTTACTTCCTGTTTACCTGGAACTGTCCTAATTTCATTGTCATATTTGAGGGACAGCTTTGCTGTGCATATGGTTCTTGGTTGGCAATTTTTTTTCTTTCAGAGTTTTTAAAATATGTCATCCCATGTTCTTCTTGCTTTCATAGTTGCTGCTGAGAAATCAGAGTTCAGTCTTACTGTTTCTCAGTCTCACTCTCTTACCATCCCTGTTCATCATCTCCTCCCAGCAAGCACTCAATCCACTTCTTTAACCTTTTCTTTGAAGGTCAGGTCCTAGGATTTTCATCTGTGTTTGTTTCATTTGGTCTCTTGTATCTTTGTTTTATCTTTGTTATAAGGAGCTCTGGTAGCGTAGTGGTTACGAATCAGGCTGCGAACTGCAAGGTCAGCACTTTGAAACTACCAGCTGCTCCTTGGGAGAAAGATGAGGCTTTCTGCTCCTGTAAAGATTTATAGCCTCAGGAACCCTGTACAGGGCCGCTATGAGTTGGAACCGACTCGACGGCATTTAACAACAACAATAATATCTTTGTTGTAGAAGATCCGTGTAGTGTGTCTGCCTAGTCTGCCATCTTGCTGGAAGCCCCTACGGTACATAGCCCTTTATTCTTACCTAGGGTATATAACTCTTTATTCTTAAATAGCAAAATCTATGGGTTTCCTTCTCTCTCTCTCTCTTTCTCTCTCTCTTTTTTACAGCATATGGAGACATCCTTTATATTGAGGATTATCTTTGGGATGCAATCTTGGTGGCAACAATTATAAAGCTAGATGTGAATTGAAATTATTTGTTTTCCTGGTAAAGAAAGAGTCTTTGAGAGTCTCTTGATGATGTTGTTATTGTTGTTAAGTGCCATCGAGTTGCTTCCAAATCATAGCAACCCTGTATAGGTTACCAAGGAGCAGCTGGTTAGTTTGAACTGCCAACCCTGCAGTTCAAACCAACTTTGCAGTCCAGCACATTAACCCACAGTGCCAAGACAGAGCTTGATCTCTGCTTATTTAGAAAAACCACATTTTGTTTTTCAGTCTAGTGATACTTTTCAAATTGTATAGCAAAGTCTATGAAACTTTAGCATTGACTTTCTGAAGTCCCCCTGTGGTTCCCTCTGTCTTAGACTAAAATCACATGACACTTCTTTTCTCTCCTAGTTCTAATAATATACCCAAGAAAGCCAACCAGTTACTGTCATGACGACCCAGGGTGTTTCAGAGTAGAACTGCACTCCATAGAGTTTTCAATGATCTTTCAGAAGTAGATTGCCCAGACTTTCATCTGAGGTGCCTTTGAGTGGATCTAAACCTTTTCATTAGTAGCTAAGCACAAAAATGTCTTCCTACTCAGGGACTTCTGTGGTAGTATATTTTAAAACCAAATCAAACCCATGGCTGTCAAGTTGACTCTACCTCATGGTGACAGAATAAAACTGTGCTCCATTGGATTTTCCTGGCTGTAATCTGTACAGAAACAGACCACCAAACCTTTCTTTCGTGGTGCTGCTGAGTGAGCTTGAATCACCAGTCTTTTAGGTTAGTAGTAGTATGCAAACCATATGCTCCACCCAGGGACCTTTCTGGTAATGTACCCCAAATCCCAAACCCATCGCCACTGAGCCAATTCCAACTCATAGAGACCCTATGGGAAAGAGAAGAACTTGCCCCATAGGGTTTCCAAACTGTAAATCTTTACGGAAGCAGACTGCTGCATCATTCTCCTGTGGAGCAGCTGGCGGGTTCAAACTGCCAATCTGCCCCATCATTGAAAGAGCATTTTTTCATATGAAATTAATTTTGTTTGTCTATTTTACAGGTACTACTCAGTCCTCTATCCGCTAGAGAGAAAAATATCTGATGCCAAGTCCCGTGAGCTGGTGATGTACATCTGGGCCCATGCAGTAGTGGCCAGCATCCCTGTATTTGCAGTGACCAATGTGGCTGACATCTACGCCATGTCTACCTGCACAGAAGTCTGGAGCTACTCCATGGGCCACCTGGTGTATGCGCTGATCTATAACATCACCACGGTCTTTGTGCCTGTGGTTGTGGCGTTCCTCTTCCTGATGCTGATCCGACGGGCTCTGAGTGCCAGTCAGAAGAAGAAGGTCATCATAGCAGCACTCCGAACACCGCAGAACACCATCTCCATCCCGTATGCCTCCCAGCGCGAGGCCGAGTTGCACACTACCCTGGTCTCCATGGTGATGGTCTTCCTCTTGTGCAGCGTGCCCTACGTCACTCTGGTCATCTACCAGACTGTGCTCAATATTCCCAACACTTCTGTCTTCTTGCTGCTCACTGCCATTTGGCTGCCAAAAGTCTCCCTGCTGGCGAATCCCGTGCTCTTTCTTACTGTGAACAAGTCTGTCCGCAAGTGCTTGATGGGGACCTTGGTGCAGCTGCATCACCGGTACAGTCGCCGTAACGTGGTTAGTACAGGCAGTGGGGTGGCTGATGCCAGCCTGGAGCCCAGCATGCGCTCGGGCAGCCAGCTCCTGGAGATGTTCCACATTGGGCAGCAGCAAATTTTTAAGCCCACAGAGGATGAAGAGGAGAGTGAAGCCAAATATAGTGGGTCAGCTGATCTCCAGCCCAAGGAGATAATGTCCACCAGCTTGGAGGTAGAACAGGGGCCACAGCTGACACCCACGGCATCACCCCCAGGCACAGTGGACTCTACATCCCAGGTGACCACAGCAGTTCCTGTGGAATCGGAGACAGTCCCTGACAAGTATTCCCTACAGTTTGGCTTTGGGCCTTTTGAGTTGCCTCCTCAGTGGCTCTCAGAGACTCGAAACAGCAAGAAGCGGCTACTTCCGCCCTTGGGTAACACCCCAGAAGAGCTGATCCAGACAAAGATGCCCAAGGTAGGCAGGGTGGAGCGGAAGATGAGCAGAAACAATAAAGTGAGCATTTTTCCAAAGGTAGATTCCTAGTTAGGACTGTAAGTTCCTGGGAGGAACAGGGCGCTTCCCTGTCCCTACGTTGTAACCTAGTACGGGTTGATTCTTCTTATATGGGTCACATGCTTTGAATTGAGAAGAAAATATATGTAAAATCAAATGTCCTCTTTATTGAGGGAATGTACATTCGTGTGTATGTATACACATGCTCATGGCGAAAATCCTTGTTCCTCTAGTGGAGTTTAAGCTGGGTAATTTGGGTGGGCACTCCATGTGCATTTTCCCAGGACTCCTCAATTCCCTGGGCCCAGCAGGGAACACATGAAAGAAGAGCATCCACAGCTCAGAGGGACCAAAGGCACTCAAAGGGAACCCCAAGATAATTAAGGATAATTGTGCCTGTGTGGCTGCAAATAAAATATGATGAAACATTAACACCAGTCTTAGTACTGATGGTTTTCATGATGTCTTTCACCCCTTCCCCTGGGATATGCGTATGGAGTGACTATTCCAACCCTGTTGACAGACATAGAAATAGGTGTGCCCAGGAAGGTGAAAGAGATATTTTGTTCTCAATTATCCTGACATGCTCCTAGCATCAGAAATAATTCTCTTGCTCCCCTCTCGTAGTGCTATTGGTTGGAAACCATGCAAATTATTTTCAATATTTTTCCCTCATAAATTTTGTTTACTCAACAAATGAGAGAAAAGCTTAAAGGTGGAGAAAAAATTCTTTAAATACCACAAGACTGTAGTCTTCTTTTCTATCTCGCCATGAAAGGCGCGAGGAAACAATCAGCATGAGAATATTGAAAAACACTTTCTGATGCAAGCTCTGTGTAATGAAGAGGTCACTGAAATGCAGTTAGTGTAACCAGGGTCCTCTGAAAATATCAATCTAAGAACACATAATTAGGAAAGGTGGTTCTGCCCCACAGGCTGAGAAGACTCTGACACATATGGCTCTGTTCTGAAGGACCCCCAGAACACAGGCACATCCAGTCTCATTTTCAGTACATTTGTAGAGCTATGGTTCCCCCTTCATCTGAACAAGAAGGAGAAAGAGAACAGGGAGGAATAACCCTATTAGCCAAGGCAACACTTAACATACGGTGAATTCTTCCCTTCTTCCTTACCAGTGAGGTCTTAGTCTACTGAAGTCAGAATGGATAGAAGAAGGAGGATGTTGTCCTCATGGATTATTCCCCTGGTGGTGCTCACAAGTGATTAAAGTCCATTGCAGGGGCAGTTTCACCAAGCTGAAGTCAAACCACAGATGGCATTTCTCTCTTAGTGAGGGTGGATCAAGGGCCAGCTCTACTACTTTCTCTATGTTTTGTTCTTGTTAATAACTCTGAAGGGTCTCTCCAGTGTCTTGAGCAAGCTTGAAAGGCCATTGGGGATTCTCACCAGCACACTGTCACCTCCCAAAGGCAGTGGTCCTCATGAGGAAGCTCAGATGATGTGTAAGCAATTTCCTTTCCTTTCTTTTCTTGGGTGTGTTGTCTTGTGATTCTGAATGTGAACCCAAAGACCTTTTCCCTAGAGAGGGAGCACTATTTTCTCTGTGCTTTGTGTCCTTGTAGAGACAAGGGACTGCCACATTCCTACCTGCGGCTGCCCTGCCACCTGGACCTTTTATGCATGCCATCTGTAACACCTTGCCCTGGTGGTTAATGTTCTGGCCCTTCAAGCGTACGTTTCAAAATCTTCACAATTGTTACTTTTATCAAGGGGAACATGAATCTGTCGGAAATCTGTGCCCACTTTAAAAGAACTTGTCAAATGTAGCCACTTTGGTGTTATCCCGATAATATACATGTACATCAAATTCTGATGAGGCAGAATTTATAGGTGTATTTCTTATATATGTTTAAAGCAGATGATTGACTTCTAACAGGTCATTGCCAGATGTCTTTCTATACTCTTTGAAGAATAACATTTTAATAAAAAATGGAAAAGCAATTGCTAAACTCAAAAAAAAGTTGTGTGAGCTATCTTTTTTCCTTCTTTCCCCTCTCCTTCAAGTGGTCTATGCTATGAACCTCTCTCTTACGTGATCTCAAATCTCACTTTCCCCCATAAATGTGGATACAGCATTGCACATTTTCTTGTATTGTTCTAACTAAAGGGAAACGAATTAACAACGGAGAGAATGGGACACTTGACTAATTGGTCCCCATTGGATTAGAGGATCTACTGCTCACATGTCTAGGAGAAGATATTCCAGGGAGGAATGGAGTGCAGCTGTCCGAGGCCCACTGTGTGGGAGTGAGAGGTGATAGCATAGAGGTTAGGGCCATGGACTTTGAAGTCAGGTCATCTGTGTTTGAATCCTGGCTCAACTGCTGACTAGCTTTGTGATGTTGGGCAGGTAAAATAACTGTCATGTATCTCAGTTTCCTTTCTGTAGAATGGAGTGAGGATAATAATTTTTCAATCACCTCATATGCATGTGAAAATTGAACAGTGAATAAGGACGACTATAGAAGAATCAATGCATTTGGGTTAAGGTGTTGGAGAGTATTAAAAGTACCCTGGACTGCCAGAAGAACAAACAAGTCTGTCTTAGAAGAAGTGCAGCCAGAATGCTCCTTAGAAGCCAGGATGCCATTTCTCATACTTAGGACACGTTATCAGAGGGACCACGCTTGGTAAAGTGCTTGTTCTTGTTAAGTACCATCAAGTCAGTGTCCACTCAAAGCAACTCTGTATAGGGTTTCCAAGGAGCAGCTGATGGGCTTGAACTGCAGACCTTGTGGTTGGTAGTCCAGTGCTGATCCTACAGTGCAATACCAGGAGTCATGGAGGGGAGTAAAAATGAGAAAGAATCCCAACAAGCTGGATCGACACAGTGGTAGCAGCAATGGGCTCAAATGTAACAGAATTGTGAGGATGGCACAGGACTGGGCAGGGTTTTATTCTGTTGTCACAAAGCCACTATGAGTTGAACTGACTCGGCAGCACTTAACAACAACAAATAATAGCATCAGAAGCATCAGTTGACCCATCTCACAGACTTTACCTCTGACTTAGTCATAGCTGCAGTATGCAATGTGTGTTCGTAAAGATTTACCGCATAGGAAATCCTACTGGGCAGTCAACTCTTTTGTAGGGTGTCTGTGGGTTGGAATTGAATCAACTTGACGTCGATGAGTACTGGCCACATCTCAGGTCTGGGCATTGCTGTGCTCTTAACTAATCTGCAACCAGGATGGGGGGCACAGCATGCATACAGCTGCTGCAGCACTTAGACTAAGAGGCTCAAAGAGAGAAAACAAGCTTATTTGAGGATAGATTTTGGTGAAGGAGTAGGACTAATGTGTTCTATTAGTCCACCAGAGCCCAGGTATGGCGCTGTGGGCGAATGCGCTGGACTGAAAAGTCAGTTTGAACTACAAAGTCAGCAGTTCAACTCACCAGTCGCTCCTTGGAAACAGGGTTGCTATGGATTGGAACCAACACGAAGACACTTCACAGCAACATTATAATCTACCGGTGTATCAACATACAGTGTAAATAACACCATAATAAAGTTCTCCACAGGTTTATATCACAACTGATATGCTATGTTAGAATTCTGTAGCCACCAGACAAACCATGCTCAATGACCTGGGAATATATGACTAAAATAGGAATTGAAATCAGTATCAATGCCCAGGGCAGCATCAAAAGCCTTTTGTGTATGAGAGGGTTTCAAAACAAACTGAAATGATTTTAGATGCTCCATACATGAGGCTTTAGAAGCTAAATTCTCTCCCTTTCTTTTAGCTTCAGGGTTAGCCAGTGTTTTTCCCTATTCTAGCCAGTGGGGATGAGCTAGTTAATAGGCATGGTAAAGGCATGGAAAATTTTATAGAACTGAAGCTACCATGTTAATCTTTGTTTCATATGAAGTTCTACTGATATTCATGTTCTGGGGACTCAGGAGCCCCTTAGGTCCAAACTTGAGTAAATGAGTGATGAATGAATGAATGATGAATGAATGAATGAATAAAGGAGGCAGTACCACCTAGAGTGTTGCAGACTCTATCACCTGTGAGCTGATCAAAGTTTGCTTCCAGAAGAGTTACTGCTGGTTTGTATTGATTTCCTTGGAATGGCTCAGACAGACAAGGGCTAAAGGCATCAAACAAGGTCTTTGATCCACTTTGCTCTTCAAACAACTAAACCTTGCTTTGATTCACTAGAGGAAGTGTACATTCTAAACCTGGAAGGGAAATTCAATACTGAGAAACTTGGTTCTGGGAATGTGTGTTGGGTGGAAAGAATAATCTTTTTTTCTGGGTAATTTTGAACAGAATTTAGTGATTAAACATCTCTCTGCCCCTTCCCAGATTTCTTCCTATATGTTTATTCATTGCAATCCCTATGAAAAATATACACACAAAGGACCTGCTAGCAGGAACATGTGGTGCACATCCTAAGGCAACAAGTGAGAAAATATACCACATAAGGAAGAATGTTTTTGAAATATCAACTGTATTCCTTGAGGCATGTACTCTCTCTTTTATTCTTTCCTTTTACATGAACATTTATTGCCTCAAGGGAGGGGACAAAGTAGGGTGGAAAGCAAATAGCCTGCTTGCTAGTCTCTTCCCAATATCTTGAGTATCAAAACCTAGATTTTAGGACACTAGAAGGTACTCTTTAAGGGTTAGCGTAGGTATTCTTAACTTGTGGCAGCATCCCCCTTTTAATGACCAAGACTTAAGGGAAGCTACTTGTGGCACTGCGGGTTAATGTGCCAGACTGCAAAGCCGTTTAAACTGCAAGGTCGATGGTTTAAGCTTACTAGTCACTCCTCAGAAACCCTATACAGGGTTGCTATGGGTCGGAACTGACTCGAAGGCGCTTAACAACAACAACGACTGTCATATAATGGGCAGAGGCCACAGATACTGCTAAACACCTTATAATGCACAAAGCAGCACCTGCAACAAAGACTTGTCTGGTTAAAAATATCACTAGTGCCAAGGTTGAGAAATCCTGGTTTAGCCAAAGATTGGAGATGGTTTGAGGTGGGCTAGACCATATACTTCCAATAGAAAATGATTCCCTGGGATTGAGGATAGCGTGGA